CCAGGCCTTCACTCGTTGAATCCTCGAGAACCGGTAGAAGGCTGGGTTCCATATGTAAGACCTAAGTGGATCTCATATGTGTAAAGTCTGCGGTATAGCCTTGAGCCCGTGTTTCCCCGGCAGACTTCTGCCATTCCAAGAGGGGTCAATCACCTCCATTCTTCCATATGCACCTAAGGGATGTCCATATGTGTATTGCTCCGAAACCTCCTTCGGGAAGGTTTGAGCTTCCGTAAAGTCCCTGTTCCAAGTAGAACAGGTGCGTTTCCCCAGTTTTATCCAGTCTTACTCAGTGAGTCGTACCATAGTAGCAGTAGCTGGTCCTCTTGTGCAGGCCCTGGCCTACGCCAAAAAGTAGGGGCGCAGGTGGCTTCCACGTGACACTGGAAGGGGCGGTAGCTGTGGCCTTTTGGTAGGATCCCAATTCGTCGGTCTTCCGACGTGACGTCGAGAGTGACCGACTGAAAGGGAACGTCTCGGTTACGTATGTAACCCTCGTTCCCTGAAGGAGGGAATGGAGACGTCACGTCCCGTCGCCACAGCTCCTGTACCACCGCTGAGCGGCCGGGTCACCGGCTCGGCTCCTCAGCGAAAAGCTGAATATGCGCTGCATCTGCTGCCTACTTATACTCACGCTGTGATCAGCAGCAGCTGGATGCAATAATCGCATGCCAATGTGCATTGGCTCGTTTAGTTTACACTCGAAGTAGATTGGTCCCGCTAAACGAGATCCCAATTCGTCGGTCCTCCGACGTGACGTCTCCGTTGCCTCCTTCAAGGAACGAGGGTTACATACGTAACCGAGACGTTCTGTTGTATCATCTGTATTTCTAAAGTATCTTTGTTTGCTTGTTTGTGTCTGTAATTAATCACTCTAAATCAATGTATTTCATTGACAGCTGTAATTTATATTAATATTTCACTTTTAAAGAATGAAGGAATGTATTTAACAGGGTATCCATTTTTTACTCTGTAAGGAGCTTTCCAGTAGGCAAACTAAAAAGCACAGACTCAAGTCGGATCTCACCGATGCAGGTGGGTGGGTCCGGCTGCCAGAAAAATCGGCTGTTTAGCTGAACGCAAGTGATTTCAGACACTCCTTGAATCTGGTACCCAGGGTCACACTGAAAGGTAATGGTGTCACCAGGCTCCCTGCTGTCTCCGTAGCGTGTCCCATTTTGAGGGGTCCCTGGGTCATTGCAGGTCGTGGCAACTGTAGCTGAAATAAAAAGATACATTTTGAATCAGCTGTGGATCAGTGAGACATTAGAACGAGCGGAAAATAACTTATTCATGGGAAAATGGACCTCTGCTCTTGACTAAATATGCCAAGTCGCACAGCAGCTCACACATGCGATGGTGTGGGACTCATGTTTATGGAGATTTTAATTTAATTATATTTCATCAATCATATCATATTACTGTCAAAAAGTCAAATAAAATATGCAACAGTTTCTGCTCTCTTAACAAAAATATGCTCCATAGCCAAAATACATAAACAATGTATAATGAGAGCAGAGGGATCTGAGGAAATTTACAAGAGAGAAAGGCTTTGTTATAACAATAGCTTACTACTTACTGCATGTTGCACAGCATACACAATACTATACACTACACAGCGTGCCTTTGCATTTAGATGACAGACTTATCATCTTGGAAATACAATGATTTTGTAGTTTCAATCTAAAAACTGTTTTTTGGCAGTGCAATAAAATACAAAAAGAGCCAAGAAAGAATGGTATGCTGATATAACATTACTAACGCTGGTAATAGAAAATCAAGGTGAGCACAGTGCATTTTAGAATGGAGTATTTCATGCTGCATGCTAAGGTTGTACTGCACATCCAGTTGCCATGCATATTCAAAAGCTGCAGACAGTATACAGTGTGCATACTGCAAAGATATATACTAAAAGTTATATGCGAGTATGCTGGTCTGAACACAGTCACAGAGAAGCTGATACATACTAGAGAACTGGATGGAGAAACCAGACTTGCTAATGAAGTAATCGCTGTCAAACTGAAGCGTGAGGATGTTGAAGGTACTGTGAGTGTCCTCGGGTAAAAGCGATCCACTCCACTCTTTCAGCAGAATGCCACTCTCCGCTGGTCCATCCCAAACCTTCAGAATGTCATGGTCCACTTCTGTGTCAAAGACTATGAAGTGGAGGCTGGGAAGGTCAAAAACAGTGAGAATATTCAATGTTGCTATATTTTCTTTCAAAGACATTCAAAAACATTACATCCATAATAAGCACAAAATATCTGCAAATTAAAATATGATTGTGACGACAGTGTTGGACGAGAGAGGACCAGGTCTGAACTTTATTTTGTGTTTTGGTTCTGTTTGTGCACGACAGTCGTCCGCGAGGGGCTGTCGCACATTTTTGTGTTTGTTTATTTTATTAAAGTTTTCTTTGAGCGTTCGCCGGTTCCCGCCTCCTTCCTTCCACACTTTGAACCATGTTACAATGATTGATTTCAATTATTTGATCAAAAAAAAAGTCCAGAGCAAGGTTATTTTTGTAAACGAAAACTAAAACTAAGATGAAAACGATTGGTCAAAAAACATTGTCAAAAACTGAAATCAAATAAAAAAAATCAAAATAAATGAAAAAACTAAAACAAAACAAAACTAACAACAGTTATTGCAAAACTAACTGAAATAAAATAATAATTATCAAAAATAAATAATAATTTTCGTAATCATTACGTTCTCACCCTGTGGCGGAAAAAACATGTGAGCTGTGTGTCGGTTTAGAGAAATTAAAAAATGCAAAACTATAATAACCTTGGTCCAGAGTTCACAAAGATATGTCCTAAAAATTTATTCATAATTTAAAAATGTTAGTTTAAAAATAAAACTGCATGCGTCTTGCAGAAGAACAATGCTCCTCGAATGTGGTTTGAGGCACAGATATAGATCTTAACGGAGCGGATGGACATATTAAATAACATTATTGTTTTTGTTTTTACAACAGGTTATTCCCAGGAGTTTGCCATTTTGAATGATCATTATCATCTTCATCATCATCATCATTTTTTCTCGTTCGTTATGACAAATGAGCATTCAGCTTCAAGCTACCCACAGCTGAATCCACATTTCTTTGTGTATGGATATGACATAACACAATTTCCTGTGAAATGCATTTTGACAGCTCTAAAATACATTCATTATTATAGGTTTTTCAAAGTGTATTTGGATTTGTTTTAAAAGACGAAGCAAAACGTGACCTCATTAATATGGCTGGATCATAATTGGCAATAATGTAATACTTACTAAATGCACACAAAACATATTTTCCTCAGCACTGAACTGATCAAACCAAAAGGCCTTCAGAATATATTTATTCCTATACTGAGCCACTGGGATTTATATTATTTACACTCAACAGGGCTGTAGTCTGACCTCCTCGAGTCGAGCACAGCACTGCATCTGGCATGTAAACACAGCACTGATCAACTTAAGTCACAACAATGATTGTCTCTGTGGGATGTGTGGGTGGACAACCGCAAGTTCTGCTTTCCACAAACACAGCGTTATTCATTCAAATATCTCCACACCGCTCATAAGTGACATTTCATTCACCAGCAGGGTCCTTTTTGCCAGCAATTGAATTGTATTATGAACCTATATAACATTATATGTGACCCTGGAGCACAAAACCAGTCTTAAGTCGCTGGGGTATATTTGTAGCAATAGCCAAAAAAACATTGTATGGGTCAAAATTATCGATTTTTCTTTTATGCCAAAAATCATTAGGATATTAAGTAAAGATCATGCTCCATGAAGATATTTTGTACATTTCCTACCATAAATATATCAAAACTTAATTTTGTATTAGTAATATGCATTGCTAAGAACTTCATTTGGAAAACTTTAAAGGCAATTTATTTATTAAGTATTTAGATTTTTTTGCACCCTCAGATTCCAGATTTTCAAATAGTTGTACCTCTATTTGTATCCTATCCTAACAAACCATACATCAATGGAAAGCTTATTTATTCTTCCAAAAGAGGACACGACTAGAAATCAGTGGTTATTTATTTCAGATGATGCTTACATCTCAATATCAAAAAATTTACCCTTATGACTGGTTTTGTGGTCCAGGGTCACATATAGATATGACAATAATAACTTTTCTTGCATAAAAATGCAAGAAAAATATTATCAACACGTAGCTTAATTACACATTATTTATTAGTAAATTGTTTAATATATATTGTTTACATAAATGCATTTCACTAATTTAAGTTAAATTTTACCAATAAAAAAAAAATAATAATAAAACATGAAATATCCCTTTAACATGAAAATAAAATCTGAAGGAGGGTAAAACCTCAGTCTGTCCTCTCAGTACAGTCTTTTGAAAAAATGCGAACAACCATGTCATCATACTAATGCAACACCCTTGCAACTGTACAGAATTACACAAACATGATTTTACTTAATACATCTTGAGCTAGATGATGTTAAAAAAAAAACACTGTTACTGTGCAAATGTATGCTATGGAGAGGGGTTTCTTTCATCTGTGAGCGGGGAGCGAGAGATGGAGTGGAGTTGTAGCAGAGTGATTACAGATGCTCTGAGCACGGAGGGGAAATTGCTGTTGCTCCACTCCACTCACATTCTCTGCTCGCCAAATTCTATTTTTACTGGCATTCAGTGCTTGGCGAGCATTCATTCTGGACCCTGCATGTATAGAAATAGTTGAAACACCTGCAGCACGCAAATGACATGACTCAAGCCTGTTGGTATGGATTACATCCCACTCTTACAACGCCTCCTTTTATCTGCTCTTATAAGCCATATTCTCCTTAAACGGATCAACCGAATTGGCTTACCTGAGTTTTGCTCCATTTTTGAAGGCTTAACTGGCTTATCGCTTTTTGTGTCTCTATTCTTTTTGCCCTTTCACTAACCCTCCCCCTCTGTGTAACGGTAATGCACTTGTAGGAACAGATGCCAGCCAGTGGTAGGCCACGCAGCGGGGTGAAATGCAATCACCATGCTCCTTTATAGGTTGTATGGGAATTATACGGAAATTAAAGAAGGGGTGGTAAAACATTAACGTGGTTTGCAAGCACCGGTTTTCGTACCTGATGGTTTTGCCTGTGTCCGCCTCAATGGACCAGGTGCAGTGAAGGTTGTTGTCATAGGGGGCCGGGTAACCAGGAGACAGAATCCGTCCAGATGTGGCGTCGCTAATGTGTCCTCCGCACTCGGCTACACACACACACACACACACACACACACACACACACACACACACAAGAATTTTGGTCTTTAACTAGATTTGCATTTCCAGAAGGAAATATCAGTGCTTGCCAGCAACAAAACAATAAATCAAGTTTTAGTTTACTACAAATTATGACAAAATGAATTAATATGACACAGATAATAATTCAGCGTATAAATCTAAGAAGAATGCTAATGTAAGAGGACATCATAGTTAGAGGTTACATCTTTAATGCGAACCATGAAGCAGTGTAAGCAAAGGGAGCTTTTTTAGACTATTTAGATTTTTAGCATTAAATTATAGTCCAAATATAAACATTTAAATGAAGCCGCATTGAAGTTAAAGGGGTCATATGATGTTGCTAAAAAGAACATTATTTTGTGTATTTGGTGTAATGCAATGTGTCTATGCGGTTTAAGGTTAAAAAACCACATTATTTTCCACATAATGTACATTATTGTTTCTCCTCTATGCCCCGCCTTTCTGAAACGCGTCGATTTTTACAAAGCTCATCGGTCTGAAAAGCGAGGTGTGCTCTGATTGGCCAGCTATCCAGTGCATTGTGATTGGCCGAATACCTCAAGCGTGTGACAGAAATGTTACGTCCCTTACCATACTGTGTTTCCATCATACAGTCTATGGTTTCCATGTGTCTGGTGCGACGAGACAAAACCAATAAAACCCATTACAAACGAGGCATTTGTTGCATCCAGTGGGGACATAATTACTGATTGTAATGACTTATACTGTGTAAACATAAAACCATGTCTGCATTTGTGATCGTGAGTCAGAAGCGCCAGACTGTCCTTGCAAAGTTGGAACTGCCCCACTTTATAGAAACATTATGTCCTATTTTGGAAGGCCAAACAAAGTAGTTTCGCTTTCACGAAACACAGTGGCTTGAGTGAGTGGCGCCCAGCGGATTCGACAAAGGAGGCTTGCAGCAACCATATGTGACGACCCCGGGCTGGACTCTGCTTCGTCCACGGTGAAAGCCGATCCGGCGATTGACACCGCGAAGTTGATTTTTTCCTCAGCGACCAGCAATATATATATATATATATATATATATATATATATTGTAGCTTGCAGATAAAATAGAAAATGGGTTTATTATGTCGACTAATTCTAAATAAATGCTTACAGTACAATGTTGGCTCAAGGCAGTATTCTCTATTTTCCACACCATCCTCTCTCTCTCACTGCATCTTACCCAAGAATGTTTAATTAAGGAATGAGTACAGCACGGTAAAGACTGTAATGCGTCTATCCTAAAATACTCTCTGTGTAAGTATACATCATTTACCTCATCCTAACCACAGTGAGAGAGCATCTCTCCATCGGTTCAAGCTCAGTATACCACCGGGTTGTATAAAATGCCCATACTTCCAGGAAGTCACAGACATTTTTTTTTTTTTAATTATATGAGATCATGAATTTGTAATATTTGATGCATTCATTGTGGGACCGTTTTGTGTAGTTCCTCTTTTGGAAGGCCAAACAAAGTAGTTTCGCTTTCACAACGAAACACACGGCGCCTTCTCGGCATGGCGGTAGCGGCAACAACAATACTACAGTGAGAGTAAAAGTTACACCTTCTTTCTTTGCATGAACATTTGGGCGGCGTTATGCAAATCTTCCCACATAGTGACGTAGATATGTGGGGGCGTGTTTAAACGAGGCGTTTTAGAAGGGCATGGAGAAAATCTCTTTGGATTTGAGACTTTAATCTTTGCAACTTTACAGATCTTCTTTATGCACCAAGAGCTTGTAACACTCCAAAGAGAAAGGAAAAATTGAAATTGCATCATATGACCCCTTTAAATTATAGTATACTATGGGTATTTTTAGCCATTATATATATATATATATATATATATATATATATATATATATATATATAAGACATTTTTTTTTTTTAATTATATGAGATCATGAATTTGTAATATTTGATGCATTCATTGTGGGACCGTTTTGTGTAGTATGCAAAGTTTTGTACTTTTTGATAACTTTGATTAGGCATTAACTACTACTGTAACTACTATACTACTCTCTACAACTATTCTGATCTATTCTGAAGACATGATCTTTCCATCACACAATAAATTACTTGGTGGTACCATGGTACAGTGATGTATCAGATGATAATAGCTAGTTACTTGATATACAGGTCCTCAATTAATATATCAAGGTATTTGTACATCAAAGTAGGGTACATGATACTTAAGGTCATATTTGGACAGTTACTGTACTAATTCTTTATTATGATCATCTTCTTATTATTATCATCTTCTAGCTCTACTCATAGAATCTCTCTCTAACTCTACTTCTTCATTATTTGTTTCAACTCATTCATTTGCAAAAACATCTAGTTTTTATATAAATTTGTAGTGCAATTTATAGTTGCATTAAATATGTGCAGCATTTGCATGAAAGTAAAAAAAAGGCCAACTTCAACTGCAATATTTGTCTTAAGTCATCAGACTATCCAAATCTTACAAATCATCTATAGAGTCAATGGGAATGTTGTCTCTTACCAGGTTCACCAGAAGGCGCAAGCAATTATCTGTCTGGTTAAGATAAAGCGAAATAAATCTCTGAGGGTCTGCAAACTCTACATACTGAAATACTGAATATAATATCAGCTTTGGGAAACATGATCACACTTCATCACCTTTCTTCTGTGATGGTACATGTGCCTTGAGCACTGCAACGTAAATTAATATGAATAGTTAATGGAATTCCCTTTGCTTAAAAGGAGTCATATAATGCGAATTCAATTTTTCCTTTCTCTTTGGAGTGTTACAAGCTCTTGGTGCATAAAGAAGATCTGTAAAGTTGTAAAGACTAAAGTCTCAAATCCAAAGAGATATTCTTTATAAAAGTTAAGAGTCAACCACACCTACCTAAAACGACTCGTTCTAACATGCCCCCACGTCTACGTCATGATGTGGGAAGATTTGCATAACGCCGCCCAAATGTTCATGCAAAGAAAGAAGGTGTAACTTTTACTCTCACTGTAGTATTGTTGTTGCCGCTACCGCCATGCCGAGAAGGCGCCGTGTGTTTCGTTGTGAAAGCGAAACTACTTTGTTTGGCCTTCCAAAAGAGGACGATATCTGCTTCGTCATGCCTGGAGCTGATCCGTGCTGGTCGCTGAGGAAATCAATGTTCGAATTGAGGGGGGTCCCGGACCGCCCATAAGCATTAAAGGACCACCTATAACACCAAAAAACATATACTTGGGGGGTCCCCTGGTTTTTCAATACAACTCTAATACTTGACACATGAAATTAGTGAAAATGAGAATTAAATGAAAATATTCGATTGCTGTATTAAATTTAGACTCATGTTACATCGTATTTTATTTTTACGCGTTTTACAGAGTTGCTCATTATAACAGTCACACACGATTCTGTTGAGCTTAGGAATGCAGTAGCCAATCAGAGGCGTTCAGATTAGTCATCGCTGAATTTTGTTTAGACTGAAACTTGCAAATTCCCTCATCATTAGCAACAAAAGTGCAGATGTACGTACATACGTACGTACGATAAATGTAAGAGATAAATTTATCATGCAGATTATAAGAGGAGTTCTGAGTGCTAGCAAGCTAGACTGACTGCTCATTTAGAGTGTGTTCTTTCACTGCATGATTCAGTCTAATGAAATGCATTTAGAATGCTCCCAAAAGTCAAGATATGGGGGCAGAAAATATATTTATATAATTGCATATAGATAATCAATATCACACGAAGAGTGCCATTGTTTCGCAAAAGTCACAAATGTGATATTGATTTCATACAACAGTTCAATAGAGTTAATATTAATATACTTGCGTTTTATTGTCTATTTTTGCTCTATTTCGCCAACAAAAAATGTTTTCAAACAGCCACAGCACTGTTTTGCGTCTGAGCAACATGACAGTGTTTCGTTCCTGACTGAATCAACCGTTTGAATCATTCAGTTCGATCGCAATGACTCGCTTATTAACAGTGGCTTGCTGCCACCTACTGGTGGTTTTAATTTCACATATAAAGTACCTTTTCATTTTTTAAATAATTTCAAATATCAGTATTCAACATTTTAAGATTAAAATATCAAAACATTATGTATGCATTTGTAACTGCAGGTTAAATGCATTCATGTCCTGCATTAAACAGTGCGTAAATACATCTAAATGCCTCTTAAGATGCAGCTTCAGGGTTTCCTCTGCATTGCAAAGATGAATTTTGTTGATAATGATTTTATTTGTTTGGTAACAATCCCAAATGTCTTATTATTCTAATTGAATTTATTGATTAAATATAAGAATTTGAAGCAAAATATAATGCACACTTCTAGAAAAAAAAAAGGCTTCATAAAGGTAAAAATGATTAATTTCAGTCACTGCTGTGAACTGACCATGCAGAATATGAAGAATATCAAACATTTTAGGAGTCAGCTGTCCATGTACGTCAGTCTTGCACGCAACACACTCAGCAACATATCATCTGATTATCATTATCGATAAAATACCAGAAAATAGGGATACCTAGGGAAAACACCACTAGGCTAGATATTTAACTTCTTTGCTTAGTGATTGCTTGGTACCTAATTAATTGATCATCGTAAAATAAGCTTTTATCTTAGAATTAGGTTTTCTCAACGGTAACGAGGAAGAGACAAAAAAAGCCGGATCGGCTTTCACTGTGGACGAAGTGGAGTCCAGCCCGGGGTCGTCACATGTGGTTGCCGCAAGCCCACCGGCCGCTCCTTCGTCGAATCCGCCAGCCTCCGCTCACTCTAGCCCGTGGTTTCTCACTCTAGCCCGCCGTGTGTGACGATGTGTGTTTCATTGTGAAAGTGAAACTACTTTGTTTGGCCTTTCAAAAGAGGACACGACTTGCCACTGATGATTCAAACGCGAGTTTTGAGAAGTGTAGAGTAGCGCTTGTTGTTTGTTGTTTCTCTGATCACAAATGCAGACATGGTTTTATGTTTACGTGGCGTGATGCAATGCAACGCTTAAAAAGACAGTATAAATCATTATAATCCGTAATTGCAACAAATGCCTCGTATACAGTATAATATTCTTGTCTCGTCGCTCCGGGGCACGGCATCACAGTATGGTAGGGGCGTAACATTTCCGTCACACGCTTGAGGTATTCAGCCAATCACAACGCACTGGATAGCTGGCCAATCAGAGCATACCTTGCTTTTCAGACCGATGAGATTTGTAAAAATCAACGCATTTCAGAAAGGTGGGGCATAGGGGATAAACAATAATGTACAGTATGTGGAAAATAATGTGTTTTTTTAACCTTAAACCACATAGACACATTTTATTACACCAAATACACAAAATAATGTTTTTTTAGCAACATCATATGACCCCTTTAAGTCCCATTTGCTGATCTCTCTTGGATCACAACTTGTTACATGAGTTGGAGAGGGCAAAGAATTGTGCAACCGCTGAACTTCATCATCATTTTTACTGAAGCCAAAAATATATAAATCCAAGCCAATTATATGGTAGGGTAAAAAAAAAAAAACTAAAGGCCCCTTGGGCTAAACAGCATAACACTAGATAGAAAGAAACACCGCCAAATGCCTGTTTATCACTAAACACTGTAAAACGTTCCTGATCTATTAGATTGAATAATTTTAATGTGATATGACAATCATTTTATTTTATTTATTTATTTTAAGCTTTTAAAGGTCCCATGACATGCTGCTTTTTGGATGCTTTTATATAGGCCTAAGTGGTCCCTAGTACTGTATCTGAAGTCTCTTTCCCGAAATTCAGCCTTGGTGCAGAATTTCAGCCACTACGAGCCAGTCCCACAATGAGCTTTCCTTAGGATGTGCCATTTCTGTGTCTGTAGCTTTAAATGCTAATGAGGAGGAGAGAGGCGGGGCAACTGCCATGCTTCGCTCGTTTGCAAGCCATGATGTCTCTCTAGGAAAAATAAATATTGCGCTCGCCTCGCACGGTAGTAGCTCATTTTCTCATGGGCGGGCCAAATTATCTGGGCGGGCAAAGAAGAGAAAGGGGAGGTAACCTTTCCCCGTATGACGACATAAAGGGAAGATTCCAGATTGGGCCATCTTAGCTTTCATTTTCTCAAATGCGAAGCAGGATACCCAGGGCTCGGTTTACACCTATCGCCATTTCTAGCCACTGGGGGACAGTAGGCAGGCTAGGGGAACTCATATTAATGTTAAAAAACCTCATAGAGTGAAATTTTCATGCCATGGGACCTTTAAGTCTAAATTTCATGGCACTTGTATCAAAATATATTATTATTTTCCATAACTAAGCCTTCTATTTTCATGTATACGTTTTAAAGTCTAAATTTCATAGCATTTGTATCAGAATATATTTGACGTATTTAAGGATTGTTTTGATGCTCATCCATTCCAGTACACTGATTTTTTTGCTTTTCACTGAAGATTTAGAAGTGATGACAAATGTTGACAACCAATTAAGAGACTCTTTGACAGGTTTTCGTGAGGGATAGGAACTCAAGCCATTCCCTGACAAACATTTATTAGCGAAGCGAAAACCTTCACTTGAAAGATCAAATGTGAAAAGAACCATTTTCTTGCAAAGTACAGCAAGACCATCACTCGATATGAAACGGCTTTAGATGGGTACAGATTATGGTCTAGGGTCTTTATATCATCGAAGTAAATTAGTTTGTGTAGTTGTTGATGTTGTGAACTCACCAATACAAGATGGAAGTGGTTTGTCCCACACCCTACGGTCTCCACTGAGGCACGTCAGTGTGCTGCTTCCATGCAGTGTGTATCCAGGATTGCAACTGTACAAAACGTATGTATCTGCAAAATGGCCATCGTCTTGGATTTTATAGCCATAATTAGGCGTCCCCGGCTCGTCACATTTGACAAGGTCAAAACCTGTAAGCCAATTTGAATGGTAAAAAAAGACATCTGGCCACCTGAAATCAACCCCCTGGCAGGCTGGATCAGCCTCTTGCTTAATAATGACATAAAGGTGGTGCAATAAAAGCTACACCTGCTCACAACAATTACCTATGCAGCCCCCAGGAGCCCATCTCAAATTAATACCAGCAAAGCATATGCTCAACTCAAAGATCACCCTTTCAAACATGCCGTCCATGCTGACCTGATTGGTTAACGCACATTTCCAAATGCAGGAACATTTCAAGCTAAAGCCTTTTCAAAAAATGTGTCATCCAAAAAACAATAAACCTGCAGAGCTGCTTTTTAATACATTTACTGTTCTCCTTCTTTTGGCTGGGAAGATGGTGGTAGTCTTAACGAGGAAATAATGAGGAGTGGATAATAAGGATATTATCAGACTGTCTCTGACCAGCAATTAAAACCGTGATATCTTGCACATGCTGTGTCTTTACTGTCTTTGTTTCTACTAGTTCTTTCTTGTAATTAGAGTAGCAGTCTTAGCTTTTTACGCATTTACTGTCAGAATCTGTGTGTGTGTGTGAGTGTAATAATAATAATAAGAATACTAACTTTGTGTATGTGTGTATTTATTTATTTAAACTATTGCGCTTCTGTTTCACAACCTTGATAATTAAATTATAAAAATGATTTAAAAAAAAGGTTTGTTTGGGAAATTTGAGAATATTTCCCACAGTTTAAGTAGGTCCTTTTTATAGTTAGCAAAATCAGAAAGCAAAATGGCTACTGTATTTAGTGCATGCGGGATGTGCAAAATATGATTATTTTGTCAAAACTGTCAGCAGTCAGGCATCAAATTACTGTCTCAGTGTGGTAACAATTCCATAAATTGAGCTGAAAATCAGTTTCAAGCCACCATTCATTTTTAATCAAAGTGAATGCTAGATTTGTCAGTGTTTACAGTAAATATGTACAATTTTACAGTACTTTTTACTATCTGACAGTCAGTATATTGATTGTAACTTTATATTGAGTGACAAGCAAGGAAAACACGTTTGGAGGGAAAATTGAAGAAGCAAGAGATTTCAGCCAAACACAGGGGAATACCACTAGACATGTTTATAAGATTCATTCAGAAGAGTTACTTCATATATAAAGCTTGTGTAGCTGTTTCTAAAGATATAGTGTGTGATTAATGGATGGAGCCTTTATTGGCATTTCGTTTAACTTACTACTGTACGACAGCTTGAATCCTTTGCTGGAACCAGTTCCATTGCTGTTAAACTCCATCCAGATATGGTTGGACGTGCTGTTGAGGATGACATCAGACATGTCGTTTTTTGTAAAATTGCCCAGGGGTCTTGATGAACTATCTTGACCATCATAAACCTATGAAAACCAAAGACCAAAAGAAGCAGGAATGTTTACTTATTTTGTCAGCAGTCAGTCACAGAAATGCTCGTTCTGATAATATACCTTGTGTTAAAAAATACAAAACAAGTGTTTTCTCAAAATATTGCCTTTTGGTGTCTGAATTACGTCATTGCTTTGTGAAATTGCATATATTTTTAAACAATAACCTCTGCAAAGAGAGGGTGGCAAACACTACAAAGAGAGGGTGGCAAACACATAGGGAAAAATATTAAAGGTCATACATCAATGTCAAGCAGCAGTTTTCCACTTTTCTGTGGCAGAGGACATTGTTTCAAGCTTTAATGGAAAATATCATGTGATTCCAGATTGCATGTGTAGAATTTGCCACTGGTCTAAGGACAGACTGTTTCCGCTGATTGTCTACAATGGTGCAAACTGATAAAACAGCCTCAAAAATAATCTGAAATCAACTAAAACGTCCAATCAATACCATAATTAATGAGGGAATAGCGGTGTCCTTACAAATCTGGCAAACCTTGCCAGATATACAAGTCTAAGACCTAATTTGCTGACAGATAAATATCCCTTAATGTTGACAGACAATGTTTTGATGATTCATTGCAACAGAATCACTATAAGTGTGACGAAATGTATGTGTTTGGAATTGCACCTCATTCTTATTCTTAATTTGTAACTTAATTAGTGGCCTTATTGGTCTAAAGGGACCATCTTTCTTCTGTGATGGTACATGTGCCTTGAGCACTGTAACGTAAATTAATCTATGAATAGTTAATGGTGTCTCCAAGTCCCATTTGCTGGTCTCTCATGGATTACAAACTGTTACATGTTAACAGTATTGCAGAGGTGTTGCAATCGCCAAACTTCATCAAAGTTCTTGAAACTCTATTTGGTGTTTGCAACATCACAACTGACCACATTCACACAGAATTCAACTGATGTGGCCTTTAGAGTCTGAACTCTACATTTTATGATTTCAATTTAAATAGTTGTAGTATTTAAATGAATTAATGAAAGGATGAATCAATCAATTAAGTAATATCCTAGTTTTTAATTCACAATTCGATCCATTATGCATATTTACACAAACATTTAACATATAAACTAAAAATGTGCCTTTTTCCCGAAAAAATTGTATGTATGCAAATTGTATAATATCCAAGGTGCACATTTCTAGTAATTGTGACGTTAATTCTCATATTGTATTTTCAGAAAGTTTTGGAATATAGTGAAACATAGTAATAATAATTTAATTAGAAGGGTTGTATTGACATATTAAGATTTTGCTTCTACAGTACATTGTAATATACAGTATATATACAGTATATATATATATATATATATATATATATATATATTAGGGGTGGAACGGGTTCAACTTACTCACGGTTCGGTTTGTATCACGGTTTTGGTACGGTTCGGTTATGTGCTATGTTTAGGCAAAAACTATACTGTCAAATAAAAATAAAGAAAATAAGAATAATCTATCTAACTACAAGCAACAGCACAAATAAATACAATAGAGTAAAGATACAAATAAAATAAACAGTAATTTTCAGGGGTTTTTAGGTTGGTCTAACATTAGTTTTTAGGTACAGAAATTTAATAAAGTAATGAAATATAAAACAGCATTGCATATTTGACTGTATAAATTAAAGATTAATCTTTATTAAAGTTACAAAAGCTATTCAATCAAGAGCAGGGAGTGATTTCTTTGTTGTTGCTGTTTGATTAATATTAAGAAAGTGCTGTCACTTTAAGAGAATGCACTGATACAGTACGTTCAGCCGGCTATGTCTGCTATAGGATACTTACCAAGACGGGTATTTTTGACATAATTTTTGTGTGAATTTGTCCATTTAAATACAATACTTAAGACAAAGCTTAATATTTGCACGCGTTCTGATGCGCGGTTTGCGTGCTTCGGATGAGCGCACGCACACATCTTCTCACTGCACGTGCGAGCTCGCGTCTTCTGGCTCTTAAATGTTTAAACTGGCAAAACTTAAATGAGTTTAGCTTAAACACATATATCAACGTGTGCTGTTCAGGTCTCACCTGTGCGCGCGCTATCAGCACCCGGGTGATGACGGAATAAATGCTCATATTACAGCATACAGCATTCGGATTGAACAAGAGTGAATGGTTCGTCCACGTTATTTTTTTTTTTTTTCCATCGCTGTTGTTGTAATGTATTGGGAAGCAAGAATGCGCATCCATCAACAGAAACATATATTAGCCGAACCCTGTTTGTTTTACGTGTTATTTATAGCAAACCACGTTACAGATGCGTTGTTAGATTTAAGCTGAACCGCGGTCCTAGCGCGTGCCGAACCGTGTGTGGAGAACCGTATGGTTCGATTTTATTTCCGCGAACCGTTCCACCCCTAATATATATTATAGAAAGATACAAACCCGATTCCAAAAAAGTTGGAACACTGTACA